GATCACATGGACTACAACCTTGTCTAACTCAATGAAACTATGAGTCACGCCCTGTAGGTCCACCCAAGACAGATGGGTCGTGGTCGAGAGTTCTGACAAAACATGGCCCACTGGAGAAAGGAATGGCAAACCACTTCAGTATTCTTGCCTTGAGAATCCCATGAACAGCATGAAAAGGCAAAAAGATAGGACACTGAAAGATGAACTCCCTAGGTCGGTGGGTGCCCAATATGCTACTGGAGAAAAGTAGAGAAATAACTCCAGAAAGAATGAAGAGACAGACCCAAAGCAAAAACAGCACCCAGTTGTGGATGTGGCTGGCGATGAAAGTAAAGTCCAATGCTGTAAAGAGCAATATTGCATAGGAACCTGGAATCTTAAGTCCATGGACCAAAGTAAATTGAAAGTGGTCAAACAGGAGAATGCAAGACTGAACATCGACAATTTAGGAATCAGGAAACTAAAATGGACCAAAATGGGCGAATTTAATTCAGATGACCATTATATCTACTACTGTGGGCAGGAATCCCTTAGAAGAAACGGAGTAGCCATCATAATCAATAAAAGAGTCCCAAATGCAGGACTTGGATGCAATCTCAAAAATGACAGAGTGATCTCTGTTTGTTTCCAAGGCAAATCATTCAATATCACAGTAATCCAAACTTATGCCCCAATCAGTAATGCTGAAGAAGCTGAAGTCGAACAGTTCTATGAAGACCTATAAGACCTTTTGGAACTAACACCCCAAAAAGATGTCCTTTTCATTATAGGGGACTGGAATATAAAAGTATGAAGTCAAGAGATACCTGGAGTAACAGGCAAATTTGGCCTTGGAGTATGGAATGAAGTGGGGCAAAGGCTAACAGAGTTTTGTCAAGAGAACACACTGGTCATAGCAAACACCTTCTTCCAACAACACAAGAGATGACTCTACATATGGACATCACCAGATGGTCAACACCGAAATCAGATTGATTATATTCTTTGCAGCCAAAGATGGAGAAGCTCTATACAGTCAGCAAAAACAAGACCGGGAGCTAACTGTGGCTCAGATTATGAACTCCTTATTGCCAAACTCAGACTTAAGTTGGAAAGTAGGAAAAACCACTAGACCATTCAGGTATGAGTTAAATCAAATCCCTTACAATTACAGTGGAAGGGACATATAGAGTCAAGGGATTAGATAAGATAGACAGAGTGCCTGAAGAACTATGGACAAAGGTTTGTGACATTGTACAGGAGGCAGTGATCAAGACCATTCCCAAGAAAAGGAAATGCAAAAAGGCAAAATGGTTGTCTGAGGAGGCCTTACAAACAGCTGAGAAAAGAAGAGAAGCTAAAGGCAAAGGAAAAAAGGAAAGATCACCCATTTGAATGCAGAGTTCCAAAGAAGAGCAAGGAGAGATAAGAAAGCATTCTTCAGTGACCAATGCAAAGAAATAGAGGAAAACAATAGAATGGGAAAGACTAGAGATCTGTTCAAGAAAATTAGAGATACCAAGGGAACATTTCATGCAAAGATGGGCACAATAAAGGACAGAAATGATATGGACCTAACAGAAGCAGAAGATATTAAGAAGAGGTCGCAAGAACACAAGAAGAACTATACAAAAAGATCTTCATGACCCAGATAATCACAATGGTGTGATCACTCACCTAGAGTCAGACATACTAGAATGCGAAGTCAACTGGGCTTTAGGAAGCATCACTATGAACAAAGCTAATGGAGACAATGGAATTCCAGTTGAGCTATTTCAGATCCTAAAAGATGATGCTGTGAAAGTGCCGCATTCAATATGCCAGCAAATTTGGAAAGCACAGCTGTGGCCACAGGACTGGAAAATGTCAGTTTTCATTCCAATCCCAAAGAAGGGCAAAGCCATAATATGTTCAAACTACTGCATGATTACACACGTTAGCAAAGTACTGTTCAAAATTCTCCAAGCAAGACTTCAAACAGTACATGAACTGAGAATTTCCAGATGCTCAAGCTGGATTTAGAAAAGGCAGGGGAACCAGAGATCAAATTGCCACCATTTGCTGGAACATAGAAAAAGCAAGAGAGTTCCAGAAAAACATCTACTTCTGCTTTATTGACTATGCCAAAGCCTTTGACTGTGTGTATCACAACAACCTGGAAAATTCTGAAAGAGATGGGAATACCAGACCACCTGACCTGCCTCCTGAGAAATCTGTATGCAGGTCAAGAAGTAGCAGTTAGAACTGGGCATGGAACAACAGACTGGTTCCAAATAGGGAAAGGAGTATGTCAAGGCTGTATATTGTCACCCTGCTTATTTAACTTATATGCAGAGTACATCATGCAAAATGCTGGGCTGGATGAAGCACAAGCTGGAATCAAGATTGCTGGGAGAAATATCAATAACCTTGAATATACAGATGACACCACCCTTATGGCAGAAAGCAAAGAGGAACTGAAGAGCCTCTGGATGAAAATGAAAGAGGAGAATGAAAATGCTGGCTTAAAACTCAGCATTCAAAAAACTAAGATCACGGCATCCAATCCCATCACTTGACAGCAAATAGATGAGGAAACAATGGAAAGTGACAGATATTATTTTCTTGCACTGCTCAATCATGGTAGATGGTGACTGCAGCTATGAAATGAAAAGATGCTTGCTCCTTGGAAGGGAAGTTATGACCAACCTAGACAGCATATTAAAAAGCAGAGACATTACTTTGCCAACAAAGGACCATCTACTCAAAGCTATGGTTTTTCCAGTAGCCATGTATGGATGTGACAGTTGGACTATAAAGAAAGCTGAGCACAGAATTGATGCTTTTAGACTGTGGTGTTGGAGAACACTCCTGAGAGTCCCTTGGACTGTAAGGAGATCAAACCAGTCAACCCTAAAGGAAATCAGTCCTGAATATTCATTGGAAAGACTGATGCTAAAGCTGAAACTCCAATACTTTGGCCACCTGATGCAAAGAACTGACTCATTTGAAAAGACCTTGATGCTGGAAAAGATTGAGGGCAGGAGAAGGGGACGACAGAGGATGAGATGGTTGGATGGCATCACTGACTCAATGGACATGAGTTTGAGCAAGCTCCAGGATTTGGTGATGGACAGGGAAGCCTGGCAGGCTGCAGTCCATGGGGTCGCAAAGCATCAGACACAACAGAGCGACTGAACTGAACTGTGTGTTTATGTTGAATCTAATCTCCTAATTTATCCCTTCCCCCAAATTTCCCCTTTGGTAACTGTAAGTTTGATTTCAAGATCTGTGTTTTGTTTTCATTTTGTAAATAGCTTCATTTGTATCATATTTTATTGACCTGTTGAAAACATTCCTTTTAAGATTTTATTTTTAAAACTTGTTTAGGTTTATGATTTGCAAAAACTGTTAAATAAAATAATAGGTGATGTGGCAGACTGCATTTTCCAAAGACAGCTGCAATAATATCAGTTTCGCGCTGACTCTTCTGCAATGTGATCTATTGAGTAATAGATCACCCAGAATGTGGGTGGGCCCTAACTCAGACTGCATTAATGAATAAAATACAGGGGAAGCGATGATATGCCATTCCCAAGTGTAGCTTTTAACTTGTTTAGCTGCTTCTGTTTTCCGCCCTTCGGGACACTAGCTTTCAGGATGCTTCATCAAGGAGGTTGGCCACCGTGCAAGAAGTCCACGCCACAGAGAAAGGCCACATGGGGATCCCTGTGTCAACAGATCTGAGCCGTCACAGCCAGCCAATGTCAGCTACCAGCTGCGAGTGAGCCATCAGGTGCTGGCCCAGGGAGCCTTCAAACGACTTGACGTCATCTGCCGGCAACCACGTGAGAAACCAAAGGGAAAGCCCGAGCTTGAGCCCAGGCGACCCACAGAACCAGGAGAGACAGCAGTAGAGCGTTTTGGGGTGGTTTGTTGCACGGTAATAGATAACCATAGCAGGCATTGATTAAATACCATCAGCTTACGCCAGCCTCCCTGCTATTCACATAAAACATAGGAAAGTAAGTCATGTTCCCATGGTTTGGGCATGCAACATAAATCACTTATAAAGTGCCTTCCATAGTCAGGAATCTTTTTTAGGGATTGTGAGTATGATTAGTTGGTTCTCACAGCTTTTAGGTTTTTATCTATACTGTGAAACTTTCCTAAAATCTACTCTATTTCAGATGTTTATATAAAAAATAGAGTTTCTACCAGTGTTCCTAAGTTATTTGGCCCAAAAGCACTATTTAAACTCAAGGCTCTAACCAAGAGACATACACAGTGCATGCACAAGCTATTCTGTTAATCGATTTTCATGTCATTTGTTAATCAATCCACATGCTACATAACAAATCATTTTCTAACAACATTCACAATCTTTCAAATGACCTATTTAAAACCAAAGCTTATGGTTGTGGCTATATGGCCAAAGTAAAATAGAAGGTGATAACAAATATTGAAATATTTTGAGCAAACCTACCTTTGCAAAAATTATTCTGTCTACTAGAATATAGCTAATTGTAGTGAGATGGTTATTTGAAGGAATTTGAACTTGAAAGTTTGATTCTGGCTTTGAGTTTCTAATTCATTATATGTGCACACAAATCAACCTTTTACTGAGGGTCCCTATCCGTGTTCCTTCACTTTTAACTAGCCTGAACTGCTATCATGAGTAACAACACTGATGTTCATGTTTTGCTGAGAGGAAGGGACTACAAAAATGTTCTTTTTATTCTAAGCCCTGTCTCCGACAGCAAGTGCTTCAAGGATTCTCTGGCTGTGAGTTTCTGCAGAACAGCTGAAGGCACAGCAGAAAAGAAGATGACTAAGCTACTAAAATCTAGTGTGTAGCGAAATTCTAAGCCATACTATTTGGAAAAGTACTCCTAAATACTGGAAGATTAAGGATGGTGCAGGTACCTACCAGAAATTAAAATGTCACATGATATAAAAGAGTCCATGAGACAAATTCATGTTTTCCTTATTTTAAAAAAGTATCTTTGTGAAGTGTAAATTAGAAAAAAAAAAGAACTCACCACTTTCTATTTCCTCTTCATTGTCATCCTCTAAGATGTTCACCGGGGCAGCGGATTCTCCTGCTTCCATCATGCTTTTCAAAGCTTCAAGCTGTTCTGTTATTAAAATAAAGAAGGAGATGGAGACAAGGGTTAGGTCCCTTATAAAACCGGCTTAAAGATGGACATGAAGAAGGATGAAAAGGGAAGAGAAACCTATTGCCCAGGCTCCCGAGGCTCAGCCATGGCCACTGTCTTTCCATTCCTGGTGGCCTTGACTCCTGAAGGCACATACAACTATGCCATTATCTACACATGCTGACCAACTAGCGGAACATGGGGGAATGCCCCATATCCTGGTCACCAGGCTGCAAAGTCACAGCTCAGTCCCTGAGAAGGATCTGAGGCTTGATACAAAACCCAGAATTTGTAGCATATGGCACAGACCATGGTTCATGGCAATTACGGTTAAGTGACATAAGGGAAACTGGAAAACTTCAGGAAAATAATATTTGCAATTGATACAATCCAGTTATTATCCTAATGTGTAAAAAACCCTCAGAAGTCAATGAGATGAAGACACATGAAATAATTTTTAAATTGGGGAAATATAGGAGGGCAAATCATAAATAATAGAAAGAAACTAGTCATCAAAGACATACAATTAAAAAATTAAAGTATTATTTTTCTTTTATTAGTTGTGAACACATATAAAAGATGCCCAATAGCCAGAACTAAAAATATTGCTGGGAAACAGGTGTTCTTCATGTATTATAGTGAACATATAAACTGGTACAACTTTTCTGAAAGACAGTACAATAAGATACATCATGATAAAAAATGTACACAGGCTTTGGCCAATCAACTCTAACTGTGCCAAGTGATTCCAAGGAGAAGGCTGCATAAATGTATAAAATTAACCTCCAAGCATGTTCACCATTGTTTTCATAACAATGAAAATCTATCAACTTGGGACTGGTTAAATTACACTATATTCCACATAATAAATGCTATATAGTGTTTCATACACTAGAATTTTAGAAATGTTTTATATATTAGAATTAAAATTAGTATATAGATTTATATCTTACTGGATAAAACACTTAATTGGTTGAATTAAAACTGACCAACAGTTAGTATATTTAATATGATCCCAACTTTGTTAAAAATGTGTGCATATATCATAAATGTGCATGTGTGTATATGTGTCTATAATACATGTATATATGTATAAAATATATAATTTAGTAGTTTTTTAATTTTATTATATTTTTCTTTGTTGTTTTCATTTTCCTAAAGCATTATTGGTATTGCAATAAAAATGAAGTGGAGTTAATAAAATTTCAAAATTTTAGTTTAGAATATCCAGGGAAAAGCCACAATGCAATCATACCAATTTTTGATACTATTCCTTCACTGAACTAAGAGATTTGTTGGAAGAACATACTTGCAAAGAAAATGTTTTCAGAAAACAGGGGGCAATGTCTAGATAAAATCACCTCTGTCTGCCTGCCTGTCTCATTCACATCCACATTCTCATATTATCTAGCAACCCTATTTATGTATGTATCACAGGGGAAACTGCAAAGGGAAACTTTTAAAGAGGGTTTTAAAGTGTATAAATTGATAAAGTGCTAGCTCCTTATATCTTGATGAATTCTAAAATGTTTTTTTCACTTTCTCCTCATCTTTCTTGGGGATTCCTCCAAATGCTGATCTATAAATACATGAATAGTTTTTCCCATTGCAAGAATGGGTTGATGCAGAAACTAAACTTGAACAGAAATGTGGCAGCTTTGTTCTGAGCAATATATAGACTATATCATTAGACCCACTTCCTCCCCAATCAGTGGTTTTAATGTATGTTTCATTCAAGATTGCTGAACTGTCTAAAGATGCAACATATGTATGCCTTCCGTTATTGATGAGTGTATTTGACTTACTTTTTTCAACCTCAGGTTTTAGTCGTTTGTTTTTGATGAGTATTTTTCTTTTGAGGTCATTCGGGGATGGCAAAGGTTTGCCTGGTTCCAGCTAGAGACAAACAGAAAAGGCTGATTGATGATAGTTTTACTTCTTCATTCTCTGTTGCAGACCAAAATGAACATAAAGCCTGTGAGTTACACAATCAACATCCAGTAGATGGCAGTCAGCACAGCTTTATACTTCCACTGTACACTCCAAACTAGCCCACGCTTTGCCTTAGCTAAAGCTGCAAACTTGGCTCCTGAAAGGACTCTCAAGGTTCGCAGAGCTGCTCTCCTCTCCCCAGGCAGTGGGCTCCAACCTGCAGTGGTCGCAGGGAGTGGGATCCAGCTCGACCCCAGGCCTTGACCCTCTTTAAGTAGCTGGTAGACTACAAGTGGTCATGGGGCCGGCTGGTGTTGCTAAGTGTAGTGTTGGGCTGTACCACAGGTCGGTCTGCTCAGCAGAGTGATCTACCCTCAAAGCTTAGGACTGTGGCTCTGTGGGCTCAATAGAGAATCAGGAAGGAAGTGGTCCTAATGATTGAAATACGACCCCTACTATCGTTTCATTTGCTTGGCTTGACATCTTCAAAGGAGATGGTCCTTTATTTGATGACCTCTGATCACAAGCTGGAATCAAGATTGCTGGGATAAATATCAATAGCCTTATGGCAGAAAGCAAAGAGAAACTAAAGAGCCTCTTGATGAAGTTTAAAGAAGAGAGTGAAAAAGCTGGCTTAAAACTTAACATGCAAATAACTAAGATCACGGCATCCAGTCCCATGACTTCATGGCAAATAGAGGGGAAAAAAGTGGACATGGTGGCAGTTTTTATTTTCTTGGGCTCCAAAATCACTGCAGAGGCTGACTGCAGCCATGAAATTAAAAGACACTTGCCCCTTGGAAGGAAAGCTATGTCAAACCTAGACAGCATATTGGAAAGCAAAGACATCACTTTACCGACAGAGGTCTGTAGGGTCAAAGCTGTGACTTTTCCAGTAGTCAGATATGGATGTGAGAGTTGGTCCATAAAGAAAGTTGAGCAAGGAAGAATTAATACTTTCGAATTGTGGGGCTGGAGAACTCTTGAGAGTCCCTTGGACCAAAAGGAAATCAACCCAGTCGATCCTAAAGGAAATCAACCCTGAATATTCACTGGAAGGACTGATGCTGAAGCTGAAGCTCCAACACTTTGGCCAGGTGATACAAAGAGCCGACTCACTGGAAAAGACCCTAATGTTGGGAAGGACTAAGAGAAGGAGGAGAAGGGGGCAACAGAGCATGAGATGCTTGCATGGCATCATTGATTCAATGGACATGAGCAAATTCCAGGAGATAGTGAAGGAAGAGCAGCCTGGCGTGCTGCCATCCACGGGGTCTCCAAGAGTCAAACGTGACTTAGCAACTGAACAACAACTGATCCACAGAACTGTCTTATCCATCCCCATTCGCTCCCCATCCCCCCACCGTCCATCTATACAACTGCCGACCCTTCCACATGTCCATGCATTTTCCAAACGAACTTTTATACTATTGATACAGGCAAGGTGCTGTGCCCTCCTACATCCATTCTGTCTCTAAAGAAACCCTTGGCTGAAATTCTGCTTCCTTTCGGAAGTCTGCCGTAACTGGTCCACACCCAGTGATCTCTCTTACACTTGGATATTGGCAATAAATATTCAACACATAATAGTCCATCTTCTTTTCAGTTATGGTTTTACATTTGTATCCTGTGCCCTGCTCCCAGGACTGAAAGTTCTGTAGTTCAGATCTTAGTCTCAATTATATTACAGACTTCCCAAAACTTTTCATGTACGTGCACATCATTTCACAAAAAATGCAGAGAACTTTCTGTAAAAGCAAGCACCTTAGTCTAACAAAGGAAATAAAATACACAAAGGACCAAGGTTAAAAATAAAATAAGTCAGGGCTGTTTCTTAGTTTAGGTTCCCTTAGAGTCAGTCTGGGACAAAGATGAAAGCACCAGTCATCTGTTTGGGAGGAAGCTCCAGGGAATCCCAACGGAGGAGGAGAAGAGTGAGAACAGGAAGACAGCCAGCCCTTCGGGGAGTGTTATCGAGCCCTGCGTGTGGGAGCGGGATCCCCCTGCGGAACCCGGGGGGCAGTGGGGCCCAGGTGCTCAGAGTGGAACCTCCTGAGGAGCGGTGAAGCATGGGGTAGACATGGTGATTCTCTGGCACCTCTGGCTTGACGTTCCCGTGTGGGCAGAGTTCCAGGGATCAGAGCATCCCCTGAGCCAGCAGGGGCAGGGGTGACAGGTGGAGATTAGGCTGCTAAGTGGGGAAGTGGGAAGCACTGCAGGCTGTGGGCAGGGTGCCAGCCGCCATAGCTTTAGCAGGTGGTAAATATCCTTATATAGTTTTTTCAATTCCCACAGATGCACTTCTACAAAACTCATTGTTAAACCACCTGATGTGTTCCCATGGGGCACAGATGTCAGTCATGGTGATGTACAATTGCTGCCTACTGTTACTGTGTTTGGGTCTATAGTGGGGCAAAACACTTCACTACTGTCAAATGTTTCATACTTTCACTCCAGGAGTTTCTTGTTACTCCCAACATCTTAAACACAGAGAACCTTAACCACTTGGGGGGTGTGGATCTTTGCAAAAATCTGATGAACTTTCTCGAATGACTGTATATAGAAAAACAAGTTGTATGTAATTAGAATGAGCTCACAGACCCTGCAAAGCCTATCTATGGGGCACAGGTTACAAATTCTTTGCCTGATGAAGGAATTAGTAGGTTTAAAAAATGAAGCTCAAAAATGGGCATATAACATTGCCCAAGAGTTTGATTCGGACTTGGGGGCTTGAACTTCAGGCTCCTGTGACTTAATCCAGGGAACTTTCCATAGCAACAGGCTCCAGTGGGTGCTGAACCCTGGGTGTACATTTGATTTACCTGGAGAGCATTTAAGACAGAGGTTTCAGAAACCATAAAGATCCCACAATCTTCTGAATTAAATTGACCCAGATGTTTACATTGTATCTCTCTCTACACACCTTTCTGAAGCACAGTGGAAGCTTTCCAGACCAATCAATTTAAATAAATATGAAGCTCTTTAACATCAGTCCTCTAGAACTACTTGACCCTTCAGAAATGAATTTCAAAACAAATCCATTCATGTTAGAAATATGGTTTGCTAAAAATACATACTGGATGTGATTCAAGTGCTTGTTTCAACAGGAGATCTCCAAATAGATCTTCACAATATTTGGACATCTTGTACTGTTGATATTTGCTGGAGGGAAAGAACCGACATTTGTAAATTCAAACATCCATTAACTGTCCAGGATAAGAATAAGAAACATCCATTTCTAGTGATTAAAAACTCCCACTCAGCAAAATGATTGTCCCTTTGATGCTAACGAGCTAACTGGTGTAGCTTAAAAAGTAGATTCCGCTGCTGAACTAAGAGCTAGTAAGCAGAATAAAAAGTGTCTTTCAAGTCCATCACACCTGACTACAAATATACTGCCAAGCCTTCTAATTCCTTGGAACTTTGAGCAAGGTGTCCTGCTCTCGGATCTTTGGTTTAGAGGACGTATTTCTAAAATATATTAAGAGGAATTTTTTCTTCTCTTTTGAAGGTGGTGGGGAATAGTGGTTTGAGTTCCTTCTTTTTTTTCCCGTAAGACTATAGGTAGTTACCACTTCACAAAAGAAACTGTTCAGTTATTCAAAAAGATGCGGAGCAGGGATAGGAAATGGGGATTAGCAAACAACACGGAGAGACAGGGTAGAATGAATCACTATACCTGCAGTGATTTTCAAAGGAGAGAATTACAGGATATTCTGATGTGACAAAGGCAGTTTCCTTGATGGCTTGAATAACATCCTTTAAAGACAAAGAGTGTTAATGAGAAACGAAAGAAAAAAATTAAAGCACCTGAAATCAGTTGGAGACTAATAATTTGAGCTTTTCAGAAAGTCAGTTCTGGCAATTCAAACCTGGAGAGCCCATCACCGCTCCATGCTGAGCCCCTGTGGTTAGATGTAAGCACAGTTCATGGTTAAGTACACTGCTTTCAAAGTTATTGTTTACTTCTCCAAAATTAGGGTGCTAGTAACTGGTGTTTCACCTAAACAGCAGTGCAATTGCTTGCTCAATAATCTGCCACAATGGGCTCAGAGTTCACCATTCTCACTGAGGAGCCAGTGAACTTTCACCTTTCAGAGATTTTTGCAATGGACCCCTCTCCTCCTCTTGCCTTGAGGAAAAACACGTTGGTGAAACAGAAGCTTTTATTGAGTTTCCTTTGGGAACCAGACTTAGGCTACATCTCCTTCATTCTATGAAGATTCCTGTGAATTGATGTGATGTTTGCAATGTCTTTTGTTTTGTATTAGCCTGGTGAAAGTCGGGGGTCATGGGGTGAAGGTTCTCCTTGTTCAAGCAACATATGAAGCTAAACAGGGACAAGGACGCTCCTCTCTGAACCAAGAGCTCGGTCACTTGAAACAACTTTTCAGTGAGCTGAGCAAGTCCTCCCTGCCTGCCACTTTATACAGATGGCAGCTCTCTGCTTAGCTTCAGAAAGTCCAGTTTCTCACCAACACTTCCACAACCAGAGCATCATATTTGGTAAAAATCCTCAAATTCTTACTGGTTTAGAGTTGACCATGGGACAAGCCCCATCTTTCTGTTAGTTGGGGAAGTATTTTATAGTAGTTATCTAGGGAAGTCCATTTGAAAGAATAACAACATAGGCTGTACAGTCTTGGAGTATTTTATGAAGCACTCTTACGGCTTACGTGGTCCTTTAGCTATTTTTGCTTGAAGTTTCTTCCCAGGTAAACATGCCACAAGTTGCTTCCCAAGTGCCTTGACTGTCCACTTGAGTTGACCAAGAATCCCTCCTTTTAGAGAATCTTGGTTCTGCCTATGGGTTTTCTTTTGCTCATTTCTGAAATGAGGGGGAAGAGCCTTCTTTTCAGCTTAAGCTTCCTTATTAGCTCTTTAATTCTAGGAAAAGGACATTAACCCTTCCTGTCAGTTTGGTTGGCTCTGCAAACACATGGCTTCCCACTTGAACATAACCTTGGTACTTCTCAGGAAGCATAATCTTGAATTCATTGCTATTCAAAACTCGCCAACATCTTGGCTAAGAGAAATGATATGCACGGAGTGTCATGGGTCCAGGGTCTGGGTGTTTGTTTTGAAGAAAACCTCCAATGATTTTCCACATATTGGCAGAGTTGAGAACCACTAATCCAGAAGCTGCAATAACTCTTCTGAGTTACAGGGGCCTGACAGAGGCTGATGTGCTTGACATGCTGTCCAACCGCAGAATTTCACTTTATGATTTGTCTTTTGGCAGGACATCACTGGAGCATACTGAGGCATTTTCTAAGATATCAATCTTCAGATTTTACATAGAGATCACAAAAAGGCCATCACTGAAGTGCCTATTTGTAAAACTGTATACTACATTCTGTGAGGATCTTGAAGGGTGCGGGGTGGTGCACTTTTATCTGGGCTCAGTCCTGGGGACAGGGGCCTCCCAGCTGGCACAGTGGCAAAGAATCCGCCTGCCACTGCGGGAGGAGTGTGTCCCATCCCTGATCTGGGAAGGTCCTCCGGAGAAGGAAACGGCAACCCACCCCAAGGACAGAGGAACCTGGACTGCCACAGTCCACAGGGTCGCAGAGAGTCAGATGCGACTAAACGTGTACACACACACACTGGGAATAACGGTGCTTCTCTGGACCAACTACTCTGTGAAAGTATTAGTCGCTCAGCAGGGTCTAACTTTTTGTGATCCCGTGGACTGTGGCCTGCCAGGCTTCTCTGTCCATAGAATTTTCCAGGCAAGAATGCTGGAGTGGGTTGCTATTCCCTTCTTCAGGGGATCTTCCCGACCCAGGGACTGAACCCGTGCCTCCTGCACTGCAGGCAGATTCTTCACCATCTGAGCCACAGCCTTTTTAAACTACTCTGTAGCGTTTGACAAATCCTGCCAGCTATCATGCTTGCCTCCTTGCACGTGTGCACCTGGGCGCGTGCTCAGTCATGCCCAACTCTTCGAGACCCCCTGGACTGTAGACCGCCAGGCTTCTCGGTCCATGGAATTTTCCAGGCAAGAACACTAGAGCAGATTGCCATTTCCTTCTCCTGGGGATCTTCCCCACCCAGGTCTCCTTCATTGGCAGGTGTCTCCTTCATTGGCAGGTGTCTCCTTCATTGGCAGGTGGATTCTTTACCACTGAGCCACCTGGGAAGCCCTCTCTCCTTGTACTGAATTCAAAAAAGTTTGGAGCCCAATTTGTGGTATGGACAGTTTATAGGATTTCTTGACAGGGATTCATAAAACTCTAATCTCATTATCTTACCTTCTTATCTGTATGGGCACTATCTATTTTATTTTCTATATCCTATTTATCTTTTTATTCCACTTTGAAAGCCCTTCAGGAAAAATGCAAACCAAGCAAGCACAAAAATAGATAAGAACATGAAAGACTGTTTTTAAAGTAAGTGGAACAAAGAAGGTTCTCCCAGAGGAACCTCATTATATGGCACTGTCACCATTTGAAAGCAGAAAAAGCAGCATGAGGGAGATATTAAGTGGAGAAAATATTTTTCTTGACTTTTTCTGAAAAACTGGAAAAAGGGAATATAAAGGTAAGATGCTTGAGAAAATGAATAATTTGTCTCTCCACTCAACCTCTCTATTTCCACAATAGTTTGGAAAGGTTATAGTGATATAATTTTAAAACTTACCTTGGAACTCTCCTACACTGTGGGGATATAAATTGGTGCAGACACTATGGAAAATTTTACAGAAGTTTCTTAAAAAGCTAAAAACTGAGTTGCCATATGATCCAGCAATCCCATTCCTAGGTCAATATCCATGGAAAGCTCTAATTGGAAAAGACACATGCACCCCAGTGTTCACAGCAGCATTATTCACAATAATCAAGATGTGAAAGCAACCTAAATGTCCATCGGCAGTGAAATGGATAAGGAAAATATGGTACATATATACACAATAGAATACTACTCAGCCATAAAAAAGAATGAAATCGCACCATTTACAGTAAAATGGATGGACCTAGAGATTATCATACTAAGTGAAGAGTCTGAAAAAGAAAGACAAATACCACATGATACTACTTATATATGGGATTTAAAATATGATGCAAACAAACTTATTTATAAAACAGAAACAGACTCACAGACATGGAGAACAGACTTATGGTTACCACAGGGGAAAAGGGGTGGGGGAAGGCTAAATGGGGATTAGCAGATGTGAACTACTATATATAAACTAAACAGCAAGGTCCTACTATATGGCTCAGGGAACTATATTCAGTATCTTGTAATAAACTAAAATAGAAAAGAATATGAATGAAAACACACACACACACACATACACACACACACACACATAACTGAATCACTGTGCTATACACCAGAAACTAAAATAACACTGTAAATCAAACCATACTTCAACAAAAAAGGAAACAAGCCCCAAAGTCAAAATCAAGCAAACAAAAGCACTCACCTTAAAAAGGATATCTGTGCACATTGCTTTTCCATGAGTTATTATCGGTTCTTGGTCCTCACCTTTCCCATCCCAACAGTCAAGTTCAACACATCTAGAAATACAGTGATTTTACAGTATTGAACCTTTACAATAAAACAGTGTGAATACAAATGAAAAGAAAAGATATCAAAATAAGTTACTTTCTATAGAAGTAGAAAACTGCATGAGTGAAGTAATGTGATTATTTTGTGGAGGATACAGCTTAAAATAGCATCAGATTGGTGTCATCAAAAGCAGACTATTGTAGATTGAGAGACAGGAGATAGAACAAGCAGAGTGGTTCTGGATGAAACCTTAGCTGTGACAAAGCTGTGATCAAGAATGATTTAGGAACAACTAGGAAAATTTAGATATGGATTAGGGTTTAGAGGCTGTTAAAGAATACTGTAAAAATTTTATCATTGGGATGATGCTACTTCAGCCATAAATGAAAATATTCTAATTGTTTCAGTGACTCATATTCAAGTACTTAAAGTCTTTTAAAGTATTTCTATATGTACAAAAATAGTGAGGTAAAAAATTATATATTGATCATTGACAATCAAGAAAAATATCACAATATAACAACATTTCTTAATTTTCACTTTCAGCATCTTTACCATATTTTAAACCTCAAATATTTTCCAATTTCTATAAAATAAAAACCATTTTAAATAATATTTATTGTCAGAGAATAAAATTTTAGAACATTTAACATTAAGGAAAGCTATATTTGGGCTTCTCTGGGGGATCAGCAGTAAAGAATCCTCCTGTAATGCAGGAGACATGGGTTTGATCCCTGGGTCGGGAAGATCCCCTGGAGAAGGAAATGGCAACCCACTCCACTATCTCTGCCTGAAAAATCCCATGGTCAGAGGAGCCTGGTGTGGCTACAGCCCATGGGGTAGCAAAGAGTAGGACATGACTTAATGACTAAACAACAACAACAACAAAGCTATACTTCAAGTGCATAGGACCCAAAGAAAATTTTGCATGACTTCTTAAAGTAAGCTATTTGTTGTTGTTGTTGTAATTTTGGGGGAATATTTTAAATTTACAGTAAAAAAAAATCTTTTGACCCACAGGAGGACTCTAGATCTTTCCAGAACAGATACTGTTCTTCCTTCCTCAAGGTTAAATGACCATCATATGAAGGAAATCAAAGAGGACACAAACAGATGGAGAAACATACCGTGTTCATGGATTGGAAGAATCAATATTGTCAAAATGGCTATTCTACCCAAAGCAATCTATAGATTCAATGCAATCCCTATTAAGCTACCAACAGTATTTTTCACAGAACTAGAACAAATAATTTCTCAATTTGTATGGAAATACAAAAAAACCTCGAATAGCCAAAGTAATCTTGGGAAAGAAAAATGGAACTGGAGGAATCAACCTGCCTGACTTCAGACTCTATTACAAAGCCACAGTCATCAAGACAGTATGGTACTGGCACTAAGACAGAAATATAGATCAATGGAACAGAATAGAAAACACAGAGATAAATCCATGAACCTATGGACACCTTATCTTTGACAAAGGAGGCAAGGATATACAATGGAAAAAAGACAACCTCTTTAACAAGTGGTGCTGGGAAAACTGGTCAACCACCTGTAAAAGAATGAAACTAGAACACTTTCTAACACCATACACAAAAATAAACTCAAAATGGATTAAAGGTCTAAATGTAAGACCAGAAACTATAAAACTCCTAGAGGAGAACATAGGCAAAACCCTCTCCGACATAAATCACAGCAGGATCCTCTATGACCCACATCCCAGAATTTTAGAAATAAAAGCAAAAATAAACAAATGGGACCTAATGAAACTTAAAAGCTTTTGCACAACAAAGGAAACTATAAGCAAGGTGAAAAGACAGCCCTCAGATTGGGAGAAAATAGTAGCAAATGAAGCAACAGACAAAGGATTAATCTCAAAAATGTACAAGCAACTCCTGCAGCTCAACTCCAGAAAAATAAATGACCCAATCAAAAAATGGGCCAAAGAACTAAACAGACATTTCTCCAAAGAAGACATACAGATGGCTAACAAACACATGAAAAGATGTTCAACATCACTCATTATCAGAGAAATGCAAATCAAAACCACAATGAGGTACCATTACACGCCAGTCAGGATGGCTGCTATCCAAAAGTCTACAAGCAATAAATGCTGGAGAGGGTGTGGAGGAAAGGGAACCCTCTTACACTGTTGGTGGGAATGCAAACCAGTACAGCCGCTATGGAGAACAGTGTGGAGATTTCTTAAAAAACTGGAAATAGAACTGCCATATGACCCAGCAATCCCACTTCTGGGCATACACACTGAGGAAACCAGATCTGAAAGAGACATGTGCACCCCAATGTTCATCGCAGCACTGTTTATAATAGCCAGGACATGGAAGCAACCTAGATGCCCATCAGCAGATGAATGGATAAGGAAGCTGTGGTACATATACACCATGGAATATTACTCAGCCATTAAAAAGAATTCATTTGAATCAGTTCTAATGAGATGGATGAAACTGGAGCCCATTATACAGAGTGAAGTAAGCCAGAAAGATAAAGAACATTACAGTATACTAACACATATATATGGAATTTAGAAAGATGGTAATGATAACCCTATATGCAAAACAGAAAAAGAGACACAGATGTACAGAACAGACTTTTGGACTCTGTGGGAGAAGGCGAGGGTGGGATGTTTTGAGAGAACAGCATCAAAACATGTATATTATCTGTAGTGAAACAGATCACCAGCCCAGGTTGGATGCATGAGACAAGTGCTCAGGCCTGGTGTACTGGGAAGACTCAGAGGGATTGGGTAGAGAGGGAGGTGGGAGGGGCCATCGAGATGGGGAATACATGTAACTCCATGGCTGATTCATGTCAATGTATGACAAAACCCACTACAATATTGTAAAGTAATTAGCCTCCAACTAATAAAAATAAATGAAAAAAAAAATGACCATCATAATCCATTAAAGAAAAAGATAAATGTCCTCTTTACTCTGAATGCTACCTCTAATTTTTCAGAGAAGAGTAAATTCAATTGAAGGGCATCATATACAAAGAACAATGTCTTGAGTTTCTAACCTGCAACCAGCCAGGAGGACCTGTCTGTACATTTCTACTGAAGACTTCCCACCAAACTGTCTGCCAGTGAGATAGGTGTTGTGGGAAGAGCTGATGAAGTAGTGAGCCAGAGGGTGGTCCATTTCTTGGTACAGCTCCAGACGATCTAGGAAGACGGGGGCATTTTCATCTGACATCAGGTATCTGCAAAACCCATCACTTGATATGAGGCCTGAGGGGGGGAGAGAGTATCATAGTAGATTTATGGTTTTGAAGATACACAAGTTTTATTTATGACATCTGAAGCAGCTTAAACAGGAGGAGTAAATACTACTTCACAGTGTCTTTCCCAAGAAACTTCCTCTTTCAGAACTTGAACAAAGTACCCAAGTTGCATAAGTAACATAATGCCTTCCACAAATAGGTGGCATCTGCTTTCATATCCATGATCGCAAAAGCATTCAGTTCCCTAAGTTCAGACGTGTAGTACCAGAACCCAAAGTGGAGGAGGGAGCAGTGGCCTCTCTGCATTCAAATAATTCCATTTTCCTATCTCATTTAAAAAAATGGGGTATAGGACTTGTGAGATGAGTATTCCATGGTCATTGAAACATGACCCCAAGAGACAGTGATCATCTCAGTCATATCTTTGTGAAGAGGGGCAGGGCCAGTGTGTTAAATGCAGGAGAGACAGCAATATTTCTACATCTTCTCTTACCCAGTCAACCACCAATAACCTCAACTTTCTTGCTTTTACTTTAGCATTTGAAAATTACAAGGTGATTTCAAGTGTACAGAAGAGTACAGATAATACCATGATAAATAGCCAAGGACCTACACCTCAGCCTTGTCTGATTTTATCTTTTCCTTTATCTACTTTAGATTTTTTTTAAAGTAATATATAATTACAGGTGCCAGTGAAGTACCCTGCATGCCCCACCTCAAGTCCATTCAATTCCATCTTTTTATTCATATTTACATTCCCAAAATGGTTTGTAACTTTACTATACATAAGCACTTATCCCCAAAATAGATATTTTTGGCTATTTATAAGTTTATATAAAACATTTTTAATATTTCTTATGATTTATCTAGTTAATACCAGTAGCTCTTGGTCATTTACTTTTCATTGAGTGATGTACAGTACTGGTAGGCAGTGTGCAGAGTATAAGGTCCATATGTGAATATATTAATACAATAGTCCATGGTCCATCATTCTGTTGATAGATATTTAGGTCATTTCTGTTTATAACTAAAAGTACTGCAACAAAAATCTGTGTGTCTATCTCCTTGGGTATATACATTCACACTTTTCCAGGCACTGTGATAGATGCAGGACAGAAGAAACAGACAAGGCTCGCTTTCATGAAACTCATATACTGTCGGTGAGAGAACAAATAAATTAGCAAAGAAATATAATGTTATGAAAGTGCTAGCAGGAAACTGAAAGCAGGAAATGAAAGCGATAAAGAATGACCAGGGTGCTGTGTTGGATGTGTGGCCCACAAGAGCCTTTCTGATGAGGTCACATTCATGCGGGGGAGCAATCACATGCACACCTGGGGGTACCCCATTCATGGCAGAAAGATCAGCAAGTGCAGAGACCACGTGATGAAGGGGGAAGTAGCTGGAGAGGAATCTAAAGACTACATCAGTTGGACTTCAGTCTTCATTAAGTATCAAGTGTGTCGGGAAGCCATCGGAGTATTTTGAACAGCGGAAGAACATGATCAGACAAGGTTTTAAACGGTTTGCTCGGGCTGCTGTGTGGTGCATAAATTGCAGGGCATCAAAAAAAGCAGAAGACTAGTTAGAAGTTAGCTGGCATCATCCAGAAGAGTTGATGTAGGCTCAGATAGTCTGGTAAGGGTGGAGACAATGAGAGTGATTTATTCAGGATTTATTTTCAGGATGGACCTTACAGGTTTTGAGGATGGATTAGAAGTGATGTGAAAGAGCGAAACAAGTCAAGGATGACCCCAAGACTTTTGGCATGAAAAGGTGGGAGAGTGATGATACCATTTTCTAGGTTGGGAAAGGAACAGTCTGTGGATGGGGGAAATGAAAGCGTATTGTAAACACACATATATCTGAAATGCCCACTCACCATCCAAATGGAGAGGTCTATTATACAGATCTGTGGTTTAAGAGAGAGATTAGGAACGGAGAGTTTAATCTGAAAGTCGCATGTGAACAGAAGACACTTAAAGCCACTGGGTTTAGATGAGCTCATCCAAGGAGTGTGGGCAAAAGGGGCAGAGATTTGAGGCCTGAGCGGGGCCACTCTGACACCAGACCCAGACCCAGAAGTGAAGAGGCTGGGCTGCAGGAGAGGCATATTTTCCACTTGATTACGGACTAATTATTCACCAGGTGGGTGTTTGTATCAATTTACACACTCAGAGAGTTTACAATGCCTTTGGCACCATATTCTCACCCACACTTGCTAATGACAGACTTTAACATTCCTGTCATTTGTGAAATGATGAAGCTATACTTTTTAGATGTGTCAGTGGTAATGTCATAGACTTTTAGGATATTCTAATAATCAAAGACACATCTCTATCAGAACGTTTATCATACTGCCAAGGCACTACTGAGTCATCAGTCTTTCTCCTTCAATAGCTTTTTTGCAACCACCTTTTTTCATTTTGAATCCCCAGCATCTAGAACAGTGCTTGGCACTCAGTCAGTCCTCTATAAACTTTAAGGATTGAAAGCAGGGAAGAGAAATACTAGTGGAATGATGGTATGAACCTCACCATCTTATAAGCAGGGAAACTGAGGTCTATGAATAGAGGTCATTGTTCAAGGTCACACAGCAACAGAGTAAGCAACAAAAATCACATCACCTCCCACCACTGCAAGGTGCTAGCTTTCCTGCAAAGCCACTCCTCCCTTCACTTTCATCACATGCTCTGTGGAGTTGATTATGATACTCAGAGGGAAGTAATGAAGCAGTCTGGCTGAAAATAGATATTTAAGACTCTAACAGGAAAGTATAAATGTATGATTATAACCAAGGGGAAAACACTGTTGGGCTTAGAAAAACATCAGGGGTGTGGCCACATGGTGTGGTGGGCTTATATGCAGTCTATGTAGGTCCAGAGAATGTATAAACATTTTGTCCATGCTCACTGAGATACAAAAAAAAAAAAAAAAAAGAGAGAGAGAGAGAGAAGAACCTCTATTCTAAACAGGAGGAGACTGAGGCCATGATACTCATGGGCAAATGGGACAGAAAGAACTTAACCTGCATCTCTCTTCACTCTCCATTGAGACATAAGGCCAGAGGCTCTAGCCCAGGTATCTCCTGGCCCTCTCTGGCAATACTGTATTATCATCATTCCTCCCAGCTTTGGCAGGTGTTTCTCATGGTTATAGAACCAATCTTGAATTTCCTCCCTGTGCCTGTCCTTTGCTAAATATTGAAATGAACAACATACTATTTCCAGAGTTTCACTGAGACAGGTAAAGGGTCAGAAACCCCAACAATTTGTTAAGTTGATTCCCATTTAATTTCATGTCAATTGCATTTATCTTCCATACCAGGGGTCAAAGGATGAGTAAAAAGCCTCCTCAAATCATGTATTAAATTTAGCTAGCCTGCTGAAACTCAAGGGACAAAAGAGAGGTGTCAATTTTTATAGGAAATGCCAGTTTTTTCCAGAGATGGCAAGCAGAGACCAAAATTGGCATTTTTACATTTTAAGCACTATGCAACATTAAGGATCTAATATAAGAAAGCACATGGGGAAATGTCACTATACTCTAATAATAAACTTAGCGTTATATTTCAGGCAGCAAAAACAAATTTTGGTGTAAGGCAAAATTTATACTAATTTAGGGGAAAAAAAAAAATCAGTCACTTGTCAATCCTTGTCTCTAGAGAGCTCCAAAGCATTTAAAAATATTTAGCTGAATATGCAAGGATTTTAAAAGTTGCATATACTCTTGAATTTTTTTATATAATGAAAAATTCTCTTTTATTTCTCATTTTTCTTACCTTGTTTCTTCAAATCTTCATCAGGCTCATACATCTCAATGATCTGCATTGCCCTTTTAGCATCATAAAATGGGAATAAAATTTCATTCAGTCGAGGATCTCGTTGATGCTATGATGAGAAAATAACTATGTTTAGGTTCACCTTCCTCACCCTTGGGCTATTACACATCACTAAACTATGTAATTTTAATAGAAGATATATGTATAATACCATGTTTATAGTTACAAAGAGATTTTGCTTTTCTCCTGTCTTTCTCCCTAAAACAGACTACAAAAAGGTCCAAATTTGGCAGTAACTTGTTGGTTCCCTCCCCTGAACTGAAGATGGAGAGACAAAATATACTTTTTTTTTTTTCATTCAAATTTGATGAACAGAGAAAATGGTATGGTCTTGTCATACCACAGGGAAGATATCTGGCATAAGTGTTTATAAAGTGAGATAAAAAAATATTTTAAAAAAAAGATAAACAAAAGCAAAAATCATACCCATGTAAGTGCCAAACCAAAAACAATAACAAAGAAACCTCCAAACCCCTAAAGTTGGATAGACAAATATAATTTCATTTTCATTATATCTTTCTAAATGAATAAAAGATTCTGGGGGCATTGTGAACTTCATTCTCTCGAGTAAATATTCATGAAAATGAATCCATTGTAATAAGGATGAAAATCTGCGCAAGGATATTTACAAGCTCAAAACAACATGAAAATTTATATTTAAATATCAATGTTCAGAAATTCTATTTCACTGTGAAATCTAACTTGGTTTGACCTGAGGAAATCCTCTGGGCAGAAAGTGCATCAATATTTAAAGACATTTGGGAGGCTGGTAATGTCATTCTTTTCAAATCAGCACCCATAGGCTCCTGGTATTATATTATATGAGGCACCGGGACAAACTTCTGCAGATCTGTCACCCTAACTTCACAGCAAAGATGAAGAAAGTCCAACTTACTGACTTAGCTACAATCGAGTGAGTGTGTGTGTGTGTGTGTGTGTGTGTGTGTGTATCTATCCCTCTATCTACAGGTAGTGGGTCTATTAAACTTCCTTATTGTTCATGGTAGATTTAAGCACCAAACACTAAGTCCCTGGTCATCCATCAAATAAAGAAAGAGAGGAAACTGGAATGAAAAAAATGGCAGATAGACATGTGAGCAAAACTCAGTCAATAGGTAGGACCCTAGCAATAACTCTTTACCCAAATATATGCACAGACTTTGAAAAGCACTACTGGAAAAGTATTGAAGAAACAATTGTTAAAAGTTCGTATGGATTTCTCTTGCCCATTTGTTGTGGAACGGTCATTTGCAGAGTGGGGCACACAGCGTAAATGCCTTTGGCCAATAGAACACGTGACGTCATCCTAGAGCACTCGTGGCCTTGCCTGTTCTGGTCCCCCCCCCCCCCACCCCGAGTGAAGAGTGTTAGCTCCTAAGGAATCAATATCTCTTTGCCAATTTATCCCAATGAAGCATGCTTCTGTTGGAATCTAAGAAATAACGGCTCCCATGCATGCAAGTGCTAGAGCAGAAACTGTTACATGAATAACAGGCCTCAAGCCCATAAGGAAGAAAAGTCCTGGGGTGCAGAGAGATGGTACAGTGGACCGTGGGGTGCCAGGCAAGTGAAGGCATGCTCCAAGCCATCTCGTTCAGGAAGTGGATGCTGGCATGCGACTCCAGAGCCCGCCCCATGGGAACAACAAGCACTGCGCCTCCGGGGAGAATGCAGGGCTTCAAACCAAGCAAATAAAAACCGGTACGTTTTCTGGGCACTTCCCTTCTCCCGTCTCTGTAAACACTCCCATGGAGGAAGATGGACGTGGCACCAAGGGGCCTTTTTGGACCCCACTGTGGTTCTGTTCGTGGCTGGCCACTACACTCACAAGGTTGTCTTTCTTATTAGGATTAAGTCTTTCAGTTTAAAGCTAGGCTCTCTGGTTAAGTGTTCAGGACTCCTGGGGGCAAATCCATATGGATTTAAGAGAGCGAAGAGCCTCAGTTAAAGAAAGAAACAGTTAGGAAAAGGCAGAAAGGGAATCCAAGTGTTCTCAGGCAGTTTGTGCACAGAGGGGTGTGTGCTCTAGTCTGGTGCCCCCTGCAGGGCAGTTTCTGAAGAGCAGCAGGGGTGCCACCCTCACTCGGGAGCTTGAGAGGAACGCACGTTCTGGGGCCCCACTCCAAACCTACCAAATCAGGCCTTCTGCGGTGGAACCTATGAATCTGTATTTTAACAATCTTGTCAGTTGATTCTGATGTGCTCAAATTTAAGAAGCGTGGCTCTAGAATGTAAAGGTATGCATTTAAATATATTTGCCTATCAGTTTAAAAAATAGTGTCTTAGTTCTGCAAGGATAGAAGAATGCTAAACATTTGAAATCTGCTCCCAAGTAATCCTCACCAAAATTTATCAGGGGGCATAATATTTACTAGAGGAATATCCTTTTTTTCAGAAACAACAGCGAGGAAAACCAAGTCCTTAAAATATATGTATCATAATCCCCTTATTCTACATTTGCAGCAAATAAGCACCACAACAATATGAAACTTCACTTCTCTTTACATCTGCTCCACCGGATAACCTTTTGCTTTCCCGAAAATGTTCACATTTCAGAAAGGAAGCACAGTGCAATCAGGATAACCCAAAGGCAAGGAAACAATGGTAAAACTTGTGTTAAAAGTCACAAAAATATAATCCTTATTTGAAAAAACAAAGAGGAGAAAGATCATTTCCAGGACATCTCAGAGAAATAAGACTGCAGGAGATTTCCACTTGGTCATAAGCACTGTGGGGTGTATGTATTACAGCTGTGAGGGGAGAGACCATAGGTTTGCAGCTGGGATCTGGGGAAGCAATGTACTAAGGGCATACACCCCATGATGTTCAGAGCCTTATAAAGGGTAATACTGACCAGCTTCTGAAAATAGTTCACAGAACTCTGACCACATAAATGAAGAGACAATGAATACATCTTTCTTACTACATCCACACTCTTACTGAGAAAAGACATCAACGGGCTTAAACCTGAGCAGCACTGGGAGAGAGATATGTTGACATAAATAATATTCAAAAGACATATAAGAAGATAAAGGAATAATTGGCAAGCCTTACTCATAGAACTAAATAATTCCTTTTCTGCCCAAGCATTAAAGACATTAAAGACATGGTACATGGAAAGTGATCTTGAGCCCTTTCTTACAGTCTTTCAACTGCAAAATAGAAGAAACAATGAACAAAATCAGGTTCAGCTCTAATGTGATCCTATGATACATGAGAGGCGGGAGGCAGATTACCAGCGACCAGAAAACAAAGCTAATTCTGGATTCTCGTGGTTGTCTAAGACTTCTGTCTTCTCTTATTACTCTGCTCTATCCCCAGCTCTCCGTGCACCTCTCAATTCTGCAGGCCCTCAGATGTCATCTGTAAGAAGTCACACCAAAGCCTTTGACTGTGTGGGTCACAACAAACTGTGGAAAATTCTGAAAGAGATGGGAATACCAGACCGTCTGACCTGCCTCCTGAGAAACCTGTATGCAGGTCAGGAAGCAACAGTTAGAACTGGACATGGAACAACAGACTGGTTCCAAATAGGAAAAGAGGTACATCAAGGCTGTATATTGTCACCCTGTTTATTTAACTTATATGCAGAGTACATCATGAAAAACGCTGGGATGGAGGAAGCACAAGCTGGAATCAAGATTACTGGGAGAAATAGCAATAATCTCAGATAATCAGATGACACCACCCTTATGGCAGAAAGCAAAGAGGAGCTAAAGTGAAACTTAATGAAAGTGAAAGAAGAGAGTGAAAAAGTTGGCTTAAAACTCAACATTCAGAAAACTAAGATCACGGCATCCAGTCCCATCACTTCATGGAAAATAGGTGGGGAAACAGTGACAGACTTTATTTTTGGGGGCTCCAAAATCCCTGCAGATGGTGATTGCAGCCATGAAATTAAAAGACACTTGCTCCTTCGAAGAAAAGCTATGACCAACCTAGACAGCCTATTAAAAAGCAGAGACATTACTTTGGCAACAAAGGTCTGTCTAGTCAAAGCTATGGCTTTTCCAGTAGTCACGTATGGATGTGAGAGTTGGACTATAAAGAAAGCTGAGTGCTGAAGAATTGATACTTTTGAACTGTGGTGTTGGAGAAGACTCTTGAGAGTCCCTTGGAGTGCAAGGAGACCCAACCAGTTAATCTTAAAGGAAATCAGTCCTGAATATTCACTGGAAGGACTGATGTTGAAGCTGAAACTCCAATACTTCGCCCACCTGATGTGAAGAACTGACTAATCGGAGAAGACCCTGATGCTGGGAAAGATTGAAGGCAGGAGGAGAAGGGGATGACAGAGGATGAGATGGTTGGATGGCATCGCCGATGCAATCGACATGAGTTTGAGCAGGCTCCAGTAGTTGGTGATGGACAGGGAGGCCTGGCGTGCTGTAGTCCACGGGGTCGTAAAGAGTTAGACACAACTGAGAGGCTGAACTGAACCGAAATGGACAATGAAGGTAAAACTACAATTCAGTTTCTCATCAGGAATGTGGAAAGAGAGGTGAAACTAACTGAAGCCAAGAGGCTTTAATTAGTCCTGGCACACACAGAACCAAGTTGGTGACAGTACCAAACCAGGTGCTAGCTCATAGTGAGCGTCCCCGCCAGCTCTTCTGGACTCCGCTTCACTGTTTTCATAATATTGGCATACACACACACGCACACACAAGTTTCCCTCAGCCCACTGGATGGGACCAAGAAGCACAGCTATGCCAGAACTTTAGATCCGAGTGGTAGATTTCCGTGGCTACCTTCATTATGGAGAATAACAAGTTTATAAGTTCATGCTGCTCTCACATTCCTCCCATTGACAGTAATGATACCAAGGAGATATCCAGTGCTTCACAGACTCTAATTGCAGACAAACCACTTGGAGAAAATGTTCAGTGCAGATTCCAACTCAGCAGGTCTGGAGTGGGACCTGGGATTCTGCATCTCTAACGAGTTCCTTGTAGATACTGAGGCTACTGGTCCCCAGATCACCCTCTGGGGAGCAGTGAACATGGAGATACTGAGAATTAGATGAGGAGCAGATCTACATTTCCTTGTGAAAAGCCAGTGAGCGGTGATGGCATGGGCAGAGAGCAGGTGATACAGAGCCCTACACAGCGACCAGGCAGAAAACAGACCCGTCTCTCCTCTGTCCAAATTCCTGCAGATACACATTAACACACTGAATGGAAAACTGCATGTAAGGACTAAAGGGACTCACAAGCTGGAAGGTAGTGGGAGGCAACATGGTTTTCGCTAATATATGATAAATGCCATTTTTTCCTGTTAAATGTTAAAATAAGTGTTAGTCACTCAGTCATGTCTGACTCTTTGCAGCCCCATGGACTGTAGCCTGGCAGGCTCCTCTATCCATGGAATTTTCAAGGCAAGAATACTGGAGCGGGTTGCCATTTCCTTCTCCAGGATAACTGCTTAATGCTCATAGATGTGTGTTTATTGATTCTATTCTTTGTCCATCATTTCTCTGGTTACCTTGTTGAACTCTCTTATCCATTCAAAGAGTTTTTGATGGCTTTTGACATTCAGGTTACACAATCATCTGCAAATAATGAACAGGGTCTTGTCCTTTTGTGTTTCTGGGACTCACTTATTTTTTCTTGTCCTACTGCATCCAGGGCTTCTAATACAATGTTAAATTCCAGCTTACTGAGACAATATGGCTAAGGCATTTGACAATGTTTAGATCTAAGCTCTTGGAGTCAGAGACCCCTAACATTCTAATGCCTGCTCCCTTCCAGAGTGAATTCTGTCTCCTTTCATTATGGGTTTCAATGGTGCTCTGCCATGGGGTGCTTTAGATTTTGGAACAGTGAGAGGGAGAGTCCTCAAAAGTCCTATGGGTGCAAGGTGCTGGCAGAACACTGTACGTTTGACAGCCTTCTTCAAGGAGACATTCTGATTTCTGTCTAGTTCTTCCAGCTGAGTTCATTAGGACAGAAAAGGAAGAGATTCAGGGCAGACACTTTGATTAAATATAAAGGCTGTATACTTTCCTGGACTTGTAGTCTTGTAGTTTCTGTGACCTAAAGAAATCCAGAATCATACCAATTCAATTAGGCCCACCCCCAAATTGAAAGTGCCTCCTTACTGTTAATGAAAAGCCAAACATAAGCAAATGAATATTACTGGCCAGTGTAATATTGACAGATAAAAGCTACTAAGGAGAAAGTATTTCAGAAAGAATTTGGATGGCAAAGCCAGAAAGTATATGTGATCATCCCTTTTAAAATTAATTTTTTTTGTCATGACTTATAAGAATTACAAGAGTAGATACTGGGTAGGTCTACAAAAGTCTCCCAATCAAGGAAGGGCATGAGATAAGGACCCATGAATGCAGCATATACACTGAAGACTTCAGAACTGTTTCTTCATTTGAATAGGGCAAGTGCAATGCATATTGAGTCTCTGCTACGTTTAACAGACGGCTGAGTACCAGCTTCATCCCAGAGCACGCAAGAGGCCTTTCTCTACGAAGTGGTAAGCTGATGATGTGGTAATCTTCTCCCCACTAAACATCTTCCCTCTTTAGTAGAAAGCAAGATTTTTGCCTATCTCACCAAAACTTAAGATGACCAATGACCCAAAGTACATGTAAAGCTAAGAGAGATAAAACAATACATTTTTAAAAGAAGCAGAAATATGGGGAAAGGGTTAAGGAGGCAGAGCAAAGCAACTTAACTTCTGAGCAACAGTGGCATAAGAATGTGGATAATATCTGGGTAAAGATTATGAACGGAGGATCTGCATAACCAAAAACTAGTGGAGTGAAAAAACTTGAAATGTTTTAAAGTAAAATAAATATTGTGGCATATTGAAAGGATTACTTTAAAGTAGGCATCTGTGTTGACATATGGGTGACCCTGTCTCTCCTGCATCCATGCTTCCAGGCTCTGGTTATCGTAGCTTCTCAAGTGCAACCCTACAAATTGGGAGCCACTGGGCCCTGAATCGGAAAGAAACGAGAAGCCCTTCAGCAAAGATGTGCTATGTGTCTTCAAAATAGCAAATCAGTCTGCCTGCTGCTTTTTCTTGAGGCAATACCTTCTACCTGGCATGATATTGTCTATTTTAACGTTTTGTCTTTATATGGTATAATGGTTACTATCAATTGTTTTGGAACAAAAACATACTGTTCAACCCTCATTTAAAATCTTCTTCTTATTTAACGTGTTAGACAAAAAGTGCATTTCCCTTTTTCATATTAACAAGAGCTTCAATGGGTTTCACTGAAAACACTTTCTTGTACATGTAGAGGAAAAAAAGTTATTTTTAGTTGTCATAAAAATTGGAACGTTAATGTGTTCTGAAATATATTTCTCTTGGGCTTAAGCACATTTTATCAACTAGTCTTGGTTGTTGAGTGAATCACATTCTAAAAGTAGTTCTGAGCTTGTTACAAAAATAAAAAGTAAAAATTTAACCTGCCATCCCATTGGCCTAATATGCACTATGTTTTCACCCAGGAACTCCAGTGTTGTGCTTGTTGTCAAAATATTCTGTTCAAACCTACATATTTTTCTTACATGCAATCCATTAAAAGACAAAAATAAGGCTTTCCCAGTCCATGCAAAAGTATGAGAAAAAGTTAGCAATGGCGAATCCAACTATAGGGTGGTAAACTCAATCCATTCTCTTTCTATTTCTTACAAGTAAATAGAAAAAAAAAAAAAGATAAGTACCTTAAACATCATCTTGCAAAACACAGACACATTTAATTAAGTGAATATATTATCAAATTCACACACATACACAGACCCAGAGCTACACATCAAAGCAAGAAACCAACAAAAAAGCAGTGTGCGAAGCCAATGAGGAAGTGCATGGACACACGAGGGCAGCAGCTGATTTTTGCACCTGGTAAAGCCATCATGGAAAGATCAGCAGGTCAGAAGCAAAGCAAACGGGGGGTGCAGGATGCAGGCATGCAATGAGGATGCTGGAGGAAGCAAGCCACTGCACACAGACGGATGGAGTTAATGTATGAAAAAGCTTACTTCATTTAGAAAGCTCACTAATTGGTCTACCGTTAAATAATCAGTTTTGTCTCCATTGCTGAAAAGAAATTTATTAGAAAAAGTAAGTTTTGGTATATGATGCTACAGGAGGTACGATTTACATGTTGACATTTGTTGACGATAATCCTAAACTTATTTTTCTAAACCTGAACTCTTAAAACGGCCAGAGACTGTTTGTAAAGAAAAAAAAACACAAAAACCCAACAACAGCAAAGGCAAGAAATCACTCCCCCAACTTATAGAAAATATCTGCAATCCTTCTTTCTCATTATCCAAAGTCATTGTTATAAAACAACATGTAAGTCATCCATTTGAAATAATTGGAATGAATGGACTTTTGAACAACATAATAACATTCCAAATCGAATCTAGTTAGTTCACATAACGGGTTAATACCTAAGGGAGCAGGTTAACATTGTAGGTAGTTAGTAAAGCCGATGCAGGGAGAGGAGGGGAAAGTTCCAGGTGCTGCAACCAACTAATGTAAAAGTTTCTCAAAAAGTCAGAGGGAACTTTTACACCAAATAAACTAAGGGGTGAAAATGTAGCCCTGACTAGACATTCCTAGATACTGTCAACGTATTATATGAAGATATTAGGACAAAAAGTGTTTTTAAAGTCTAAAAGAGCAAGGATAACTTCAATGTGACACTTTCTCATAAATGGAACTTACATTTTTTTGAAAAGATCCTCTATATCTGTCCGAGGACAAATCTTTTGTGTCAGTTCATAGAACTTTTCATAAGTAAATGCGGCAGGCTCAATTTCGTCATTCTGGAAAGAATAGAAGCATGTCACAAATCAGGCACCATTCTCTCTCTTTGGAGGATCTACAGAATTGATAGGTTCATGAAGCAGAGTGATGACTACTTGTAATTCCAGGGTTTTTATCTCTGATTGCTGACAGGAGCCAGAAGGTCCAACCTTGGCCAGCCTACTAGAATATGGTGCATGTAAAGGAGTGTTTCTAGTTACCATGTGCCCAGGGTTTGGATGTTCAAACATTGGCCACAGCTGGGCTTGCTCTGGGAGATACTCCACAGAACAAACACAAAGAAACATTTCTTCCTTCTCTTCTGGAAGGAAAAATGCAACTACTTGCTACAAGGATGCTGACTAAATCAAACCCAATGTTTTCTTATGCTTATTTTGTGAATTTTCACAGGCAACATAAAGGGACTTCTATAAGAATTTACGTTTCATACTGAAACTTATATTTCAAATAGGATTTGTTAAGGCAGTAACAGCTTAGATCTTTCTTGCAGTTAATACATTCATTGCAACTGTTTTATTTTTTAAATTTATTTTATTGCAACTATTTTAAATCCAAAGGGCCACAAACTCAAATGTTTTGCTTGGGGAGAGGTGCTTCATAAAGTATTTCACAACTGTCCTGAAGAACTTAATTTATGAGCCATTTTTCATGCTGACATTGTGCATGGTTCAGCCAATATTGATGGGCTTCTATAAAATAAGCTTTCAATAAGCTGTGTGAAAGAGCAGCCTGCTCTCATTTCCTTTTCTTAATAAAGTTGACAGGGACATTTGGAAATAGGCTATTTGAATACTATAATGTTTAGGCTAAAATGCCCAGAAAACAAAAGGAAGGATAGAAGGAAAGAGAACAAAGGAAAAATTGACTGTACTATATGTGACTGAACCTAATTCTGAATCTAACTGAATCAGTTTAATATAAATAATCTTACTTATTACATGAGGACAAAAATACACAAAGTGGTTTTAGAAACACATTATTAAATTAATGAATACCTTTCCACTGGGAAGACCTAGCTCCTTGAGTGCTTGAAAGATCACCTTTTCTGTTTTCCCCGATGCAAAGGTTCTAGTAATACTAGGGCAGAAAAGGAAAAAAAAGTTGCTATTAATTCTGTTTTCTCTGATGGAAAGATCCAAGTAAAACTAAGTATGGCGGGAGAGAGGAGAAGAAAAAGGAAAATAAAATTACTTCTCATTTCCGGGTATTTGTTACTCCCCACAGTGCTCCTGCAATGGCCCTGTGCTGACCAGAGCTGGTGGTGCCCGTCAGGTGCCATGATTCTAAGACAGACAGTCCCCCGGGCTACTTGTGAACATACACATCCAGGATCCAGACCACGGGACAACCACAGTAATAAGTGTTGATCCTATCAAATTGCTTTCTTAGGAAAATGGGATGTGGCAGATGGACCAGCAGCTCTAGAACAGAAGCTCATGGTGACCTGGGGACAGGAAGGGGGCCACTTAGGACCCGGCCCATGCCTGGGGTCATCCTTTCCTGGCCCCATGCTGCAGCTGACATGCATTAATTATCAGGCATATTTCATTTGTACGGTTTTTTTTTGCTTTTCAGGCCAAGCACCCATGAGCTACTCTGACATGTCAGCTGCCTCCAGGGTTGAGGACTTTATTATGAAAGTGACAGATGTCAGGAGAAGGGAGGCAGGGGACAATTATTCAGTGTTTCAGCAGCATCTTGGCACTACCCTGAGATGTGGTATTTTTGAGTAATGGTGGTGCCTTTGAACCAGTATGGTGTGCATCAAGGCTAGGGAAATGGATAACACCTTAAGGAGGGTATTTCCTGATGATGATAAAAGTAGGAGAGAGACTCCTTCTGACTAAAACACTGGTAACACTCAGAGCGAACACAGCCGAGGAGAGGACTTACACCCTGGAAGCTACATCTGCGCCACGCAGAGAGCCTCCATTCACTGCCTGAGTGGAAGTTAAGGTAGTTATTCACCGTAATGACATAAATCAGAAGTTCAGCCATTGTGGGGAGAGAGAGCTGACTTTTGTGTGTGGTGTGGCTGTGGAACACCCTCCCAGGAGCACAGGACGGTGAGTCTCCCCACCTCAGCTTGTCCCACGACCCGCCGTTCGCGTGAGTGGAGGCCAGCTCCACGGGCAGGCACTGACCGGTTCCCCTCGATCGGGGGAGAAAGCGCCCCTTCCGCTGCAGCGGCAGCCTCAAGGAGAGACTAGGAAGAACCAGCTACAGGTCAATGAACTGTGCATTCATCCAAAACTTTACTATTTCATATTCAGTCTAAGAATACTTCAAGAAGTGTACTTTTAAGAGTGTTTGAGACAACTGCATCCAAATATAGGGAGGCCTATGAATTCTCTTTCACAGACCCGCAGAGCATACATGTGTATTAAACCAGTTTCAGGGCAGAGGGTGCTATGCCCACATTTTCCCACTTCTCTAGAGTTCATGGAACTTTCATACATTGGATTAAGAAGTACTTTATCTGCCCTTTATAAAGTAGGGGAAAGTAGCTGTTCATTTTGTCATTTTTGAAAAACAGTATGTATGTGTTAGGGCTGCCCAGGTGGTTCAGTGGTATAACGAATCCATCTGTCCATGCAGGAGACTTAGGCTTGATCCTCGGCAGACAACGTGGTGTTGGGGAGATGGTGGGGCAGGGAGCGGGAGAGTCTGCAGGAAGAGAATACTGGCTGGGGCTTGGGAAAATGACATGGAGCAGAGAGCAGGACAAGGACATCTCACGGAACTAGGAGGTTAAGAATTTGTGGGGCACAGAGAAACTGAGATGGAGAAAACAGGGTGTCCAGGGCCACGAAGGAGGAAAATCCATGTGGGAATACATCAGTGAGGGAAAAGTCAGAGCCCAGAGACATGGCTGTTGAGACAATAATAAAGGCAAGAGCTGGGAACTCCCTGGCTGTCCAAGTTAGGACTCCAGGCTTCCACTGCAGGGGACATGAATTTGATTCCCGGTCAGGGAACTAAGATCCTGCAAGCTTTATGGCAAGCGTGATTGCATAAATGAATAAATAAATAAAGACAAAAGGTTATGTGATGGCAAGGAGGGCTTGTTCTCAGGCCCATCTTTGCATGAGGGGACAAGAGAAAACAGGAGAAGGAAGGGAAAGAGACCGTTCCCCTGTAGATGAGGGGAAGGGGAGGGGGCTGCCTTCTCGCCAGGCAGTTTGCAGAGTTATTATTGGGCCTTAAATGCACTTGGCTCGGGAGTGAGGAGGGTTGTGGAGCAAAGGTGAATTCTCGGAGTTTCCAGTTGTATCAGAGATGCAGTATTTAACCAGGAGAAAGACACTTATCACAGGCTGAGAAAAACACTTATCACAGGCTGGGAGCACTCAGATAGCATCGGAGGGCATTTCTTTGGCAGGCAGAGTATGTGTAAAGGACTGTGATTCATGTAACCCTTTATACACAGCTCCACAGAGCACAGTGCTCCACCGCAAACCGGTGTTCAGTGAGCGTCTGGAATGAAAACACACCGCCTTTCCCCAAGGAAGTGTAAGAGAAGCAAATGCGCGTAAGTGGTGCCCAGTCCTATCAGATTAAATTCCCTGCTCCAGGAGGCCTTACAGACGACCAAGATAGCGAGGACTCTAGAAGCTGAGTTTCGCTCTGCCCGCAAAGGCTCTACAATCCATCCAGCGGTGTTAACACTAGCTTTGCAAGGAAGAGCATGAAGGTAAGCCCCACAGATCCAGACCCTCACTGTAGCAGACCAGGCCTTCTGGAGGTGGACAGATTATGTGGACACTGGGCTGCTGGGACCACCCCTGAGGGCTCAGCCCTCTTAAGACACACTCTCCTTTGGGACTTCTTCTAGCCATAGCTGTTGGTTCTAACTCCAGTGACTTTCAAAGCTGTGGTCTAGGTGGGAATGTAAAGTGAGCATGAGCATGTAGGTTTGGGAGAAAGGCAGATGGTAGAAGAGAAGGTACAAAGAAAGAAAGGGGAAGCGGCGGGTAAAGAGCTTTCTTCCCTTGTGCCTTAATTCTTCTTAGACATTGAATATCAGAACAGGGGCCATGCTCAACCTGATCTAATGACTGTGAAGCCAGAGCTCCTCTAACGTTACACACAACTACACTAACAGTTTCCATTTTAAAACTTCAGAGTGATAGTGATGAAACGACATTTTAAAGTGTTTACTCTTCGTATCCATTAAAACATTCAGAACAATTTCCATCTTGCCCTTGGCAGCTCATCCACACAAAGATTTATCCGCTTTTCACTGGCTCGATATCAATTCTCCTTCAACTCTGTCAAACTGCTCCCAGACCACAGATGTCCTGCGTCAAACACCTGTTAATACTGGCAGCCACCACAGTTCATGTCAGAGAGCGCCAAGGAAGATGACAAAATATCTGGGCTATTTCCACAAAAAGAGGCGGGTAATAATTCTGTTCATGAACAGGTTGGATCAGGCTTCTAAGCTTGTATAACAAAGGCTTGATTAGTAGCATGTGTACAAATGACACCAGAACTGCTGGTGAGGAGTGCTCTGATCACAATGTCTGTGTTTCTACTTTGCCCATTTCCTGAACCTTTTCCGGGAAGAAAAATCAGGAGAGCAAGGTATGTAAAAACAGACCCAACTCACATTGCTGGTTTTCACACCGCTGTTTGTTCCAAGCTTGGACTTATTACTTCAGTGTGTATGTGTGTGCTCAGTCGTGTCCGACTCTCTGTGACCCCATTAGCTGTAATCATCCAGGCTCCTCTGCACGTGGGCTTCTCCAGGCAAGAATAGCAGAGCAGGCTGTCATTTCCTTTTCCAGGGGATCTTCCTGACTTACTCTTCTTTCTTGTGCCCCTGGCATTTGCAGGTAGATTCTTTACCACTGCGCCACCTGGGAAGCCCTATTACTTCAGTACTTATTTTTAAATAAAAATGCACTAAATATTTGGCAATAGCTGTAGGATCCTGAGATACATTAAAATAATTACCCTGCTATTCTCAGTAGAGCAAAGGGTTTTAAATAAGATAAGGATGAGTGTAAAGTGTCTTTGCTAACAAACATTGATCAAGGTGCTAGCAGGGCTTTTTGCTTTTAAGATTTTTTTATGTGTGTGATGTGGACCATTTCTTAAAAGTTTTTATTGAATTTGTTACAATAGTGTCTCTGTTTTAGGTTTTGCTTGTTTTTTTGGCCACTAGGCATGTGGGATCTTACCTCCTCAACCAGAGATTGAACCTGCAGCCCTTGCATTCAGTTGTGTGAAGTCTTAACCACTGGGAAGTCCTAGGGAAGTCCTCAGCAGGGCTTTTTAAAAAACTTCTAAGTAAATGCAAAATTGACTCGCTAGTAAGTGATTAAATAAAAAACAGAGAATCCTACACATAGATTTGTAAAGACCGCAACAGATGCATTAAGTTGGTAACTCTGGAAGCCCTCAATAAAAGGTGAAGTAGAAAGATTACTGCCTGGTCTTCTTTACAACCTGCACGCCCTGTGCTTCTCACTGATACCTCAGCTGTCACGTGGATACCTTAGTTCATGACTGCTATAACCCACAGAATTAAGGAGACCGATGATCTCTAGGATAGTTCTATTAAATGTGAAAGGATGCTGAGGGAGATGCCCTCGGGGGAATGCAGAATGGAGGCTTCAGGCTAGCAGAGAGGGCAGGAAAGGAGAGGCAGAAACAACCAGTGTGATCCCTGTGCAGCTGCTCCGAGGCTCACCCCAAACGCCGCGCAACAGGCAACCTGGCCCCTCATCCTGATGGCTACAGCCATTCCGAGACAGGCTCCAGCTGGTGGCCTGGGTTCTGCCTGGGGTTCTTGCTGGTTGGCTCCTTTGCTAAAGTGCTGGGCAAGACCTCAACTTGAACGCGAATCTGGAGAATTCTTGAAGAGTGGGTCTGGCCCGGGAGCTCTTGCTGAGTTCAGGCTCACGACTGAATACACTCCTGGCTTCAGATGGGCAGCAGACGCCCCGGGGCCCAGCCCAGCTTTCGGAATTACCGTGGAGTGCTTACCACAAACACCAGCCGAAAAGACACTGGGGAGCTGGGTGCAGAACCCCACCACTCCCACTGCAAGAGCTTCCAAAGGCCCACAGGCCAGGAGAAGTCCTAACGCTGGAGGCGGAGCAGAGCGGGGCCCTCGGGGCGAGGCACGTTGGCGGGGGGCCGTCTCCTCACTCCTGGCTCCGCCGGGCATTCTGTGCTCCTCTTTCTCCCTGTCACTGCTACTCTGGGCAAGCTGAAGGGAAAGCGCCGTCCTGAAGGGGGTGTGCTGGCAGGGACGACACACCCAGGCCCCGTGGTGCCCGCCGGCCCTGGGCACAGAGGGCCGATGGAACCCGGAACGAGCGGCAGTGTCCAGAGGCGGCCCCCCTCCTAAGGCACATCCCCACCCCGCTACCTTAGGTGCAGAGCAGAAGAGAAACTTCCTTCATGTCAGCTAATGGTTGTTTGGGGCAAGCAGGTGAAAGATGAAAGAAAGTGAAAGTGCCGGTGGCTCAGTTGCATTCTACGCTTTTTTGACCCCACGGACTGTATCGCCCCAGGCTCCTCTGTCCACGGAATTTCCCAGGTAAGAATACTGGAGTCAGTTGCCATTTCCTTCTCCAGGAGATCTTCCCAATCCAGGGATTGAATCTGGGTCTGCTGCATTGCATGCAACTTCTTTATCATCTGAGACACCAGGGAAGCTACTTAAATCCCCAAAACCCACTTATCTAAAAATTTAAAAAAAATACTGCTACATTTTCAGATGTTCTTTATCAGGATTACTGCTAACCATTCTGAGAAAAAATGCGACTTTACATCCAAAGGTGATTTTTACGAAGTAAACACAGCATCTGATAATGTGATTCAAACTAAGATTCCAGAAATACCTGTAACTAAAGCAATTAACAAGTCCTTGTGGGGGGCTTTCTCTGTGGACTGGTATCATGAGGGCCGACCCAGGCTGTGCAGAGCATGCAGGAATAATCGACTTACCTCCTAACTGGAATTTTCCCATTTGTGTTGGTCATAAATGCCAATTTCATCCAGCTGGAAAACAACAGCAACAACTGTTTTAATGTTTCTTGGGAGGAATAGCTTCCATCTGGTTAAAAACTTTAAAAGAAAGTTCACTCAAACAAACACTATTTATTCAGAAAACCAGAGACAATCGCACACCATGAGATAAATTTACTGTTTGTCAGATTCAGCTGATAAAGATATAACTCTCAGTTAAATTCGAACTTCAGATAAATAACAAATACTTTTCTTTTAACTAGAGGTATGTTCCAAATATTGCTTAGGATGCATTTATACTAAAACATTATTTGTTACTTATTCAAATTTCACCAAGAGTCCCATATTTTATCTGTCAGTCCTAGATGAATTAGGAAATTGGGTGTGTGCCTTGAACATAGCAAATCATAGGCACTTGTTTGGTGACTGGTCTTGTCTTTGACTGATGCTTTTTAATGATCTACTAAGGGGCTAAAAAAGGCAATGGCCTGGTGACAACAGCTAGGCTTGTCTGAAGCCAGTGGGGACAGCCCCGGCCTTCCCCCCTCCGCCACCCCAGGGAGCAGCCAAGTGCAAAGGGAGAAGCAGCCAGGCGTGAGCCCTTTGTGACCTCATGCACCTGGCGGATGGGTGGACACCATCTCCATAAAGGAATCTGGATCCTTAACTTGCCACTGTCAGAGAAGTTCATCAACTCAAACTGACGGTGAGAAAGGCTGAGCTTTTCCCAGGTTTTCGGGACTCAGCGGGACCCGGAACACTTATCCTTTGGTGCCAGGGCTGCTCTTAGCTACTGACTCCTTTCTCACTGTTCCTGTAAGTAATCTAACAATCTGCAGAACATGATGATTTGGTAAAGCTTTTGTCTTAAATCAGTGTTCCTCGAAGCACAAGTGGCTACCTTTTAAGGGGCTAGTTTCAGGACCACAGGAGTGAGGCAGTGGGCAGGCAGGGAGGGACGGTCACCTCAAGCTGTGCTCTCAGCCGGGCTTTGTCCCGAGGCCACTGGGACCTCTAGAGTGTGATCTGTGCCAGGCTTGGCGGCAAGGGGGCAGGCTCTGATATCTTGTCTCAGCCTGTCATTGGCCGTGACCTTCCTTTCTGAAGAAGGGGCGAGGGCAGGGTCAGCCCTCCTCAACCAGGGACATGAAGGGTCAACCCTAAGGGACTCTGTGGATTTTGGTACGGGCAGGGGTCCTGGATACTCTGGGAGGCTGTGATCTACTGGGCCCTTGATTCCCCTGTAGGCAGAGGGTGGTTCTCTGGAGAAGCAGGCAGACGTGAGCCCCGAGTGACCTCGCCCTTCAGCCGCTGGTGCATGGGTGAACACCAGCGACGGAAAGCGGTCTGGGCGGGACACCCACGAGGGCAGCTAAGATCTGGCATCCGGACACGGAATCGGCTCCCTCAGGCCTGAGAGGGCATGCCAAAAGTCTGAGATCCTTTGGGATTCCATGGCATCAAAATATCTGCTGGGTTGCTCTGTATTTTTAAGAAATCATGCGAGAGCAACTGCAGAGGAAAAGAAGCAACTGCACAAAAATAGGAATATACACGACTGAACAGCTCCCCTCTTCTAAGACAACAGGGACACACTGGAATGAGGGCATCAGAATCAGAATAAGTAATTGTGAGTGAGGGGGAGTGAGGGGCCTGGCTTTGCATGGCCTCGCTTGCTCTGCAAGGAATCTTACGAGTGGTGTCACCGCCTTCATGCACAGATGAGGACAGTGAGGCTAAGAACTTTATCAGGCAACGAAGTGACCAACGCGGGAACTGCAGCAGAGCCCACGCTCTTAGAGCACTGCCGAGGGGACCGGAGTAGGACACAGGAGGCTGGGGGCAGAGCTCTCCTTCCATCGCCCACAGCCCGGGAAGTCCCGCCCTGGGTGCTGGCCAGGCCCGGCTAAGGGGTCGTGCAGCCTGGTCAGTGCAGGTTCTCCACACCGCCCGCCACCTGCCCCGGGCCCGGATCACTGCTTCTCAAACAGGAGGACAGGGGCTTTGCTTAGGGCTTCTACTTGAGTAACCTTCACGTCACCCATAAAGAATAACTTGATAGGGTTAAAAGCTACCACCTGGTGCCTCTCTGAATGTTGGATACAGTGAGCTGGGGTGAGGAAGGCCTGCCTTCTGAATTTCAAAGTACCTGTGGATCCCTGACGGCTTACCAAAGAGTCCCTGGGGCCAGTGCTTCTCTCCCTCCCGAGCAGTGGGTTCTTCCGTCAAATGGAGCCACACTCCCCATCCCTCAGTCTCATGCAGTAGAGGCTTGAGCTGCACCCAGCCCCCAGCTATAGCCCCAGGCACGCAAAGCTACTTATCAGCAGCCTGGGGACACAAAAGCCCAGCCCCACAACCCAGGGGACACTGAGGAGGTGGAGTTCCAGTACCTTCCTGCCACCAACCATTCCCCACGGTTTTGGGCCATGGGCATCACACATGCCTGCCGGGTGGCAGGAAGGGTACCGGTGTGGACTGGTCAACGACTTCTCCAAAGTCAGGAGCACAGAGGGGAAGGCAAGAAAGGCGCTGCCTGGGGCATGTACGCAGCTTTCATCTCCTAGTCTGCATTTGCAGCTTTCATCTCCTAGTCTGCATTTGCTTGGTAAAAGCCAAGCACAAAGGGTCATGCAAACAAAACTCACTGCTTCTTGAGGCACGTCATTGGGCTGACGTTGTTCGCCCTGAAGTTGTGTATGATGGATCTCAGGCCTTCGACCCATTGCTGAAAGAGAAAGAGAAAATGTTCCTGGTGAGCAAATCCACCGGAGCAAAACCGGCAAGTTCTTATTAGACGGCCCATATCCATTTTGTGGAAGAATAATATAAACTCTTCTCTATCTCCTTCCTGCCACTCCCATTTGGATCAAACGCTCACGTTTTATGCTTTAATAAACAGCTTTCCCTTATTCCATGAAGATAAACGTGGCACGCACAGTGTCATTAAACACTGGGTTGTCATGAAGGATGCTGCCCACTGACTGGCTGGTTAAGTCTTCTATTTGCAGCCTGCTGAAATATAAGTCCCATCAGCTGCCAGCAATCTTTACTATTTCTAAAGCAACATTATACAATACACGGTGACTCTTGTTTTAGAGGATGAATGTATTAGGGGTTCATCCACTTTATTGTGGGATTCTACTTCAGTGTAAGAACTTGTTACCTCTCTTACCTGTCTGTGTTTTCCAGTAAAGCAGGCACTGACTGCCAGGATACCCGGAAGAAATAGCGATGTGTTTGCATAGTTTCTGTAGAAGGCCTTGGACTTCAGCATTAGTTCACAACATAACTCCAAGGATTTACAAGGACAGCTGAAGAAGCCCGTGCTCAGCAGTGAAGGAATTTAGGTTTCCCAAGGGCATTTGACTAGAAAAGGCTGGCCTGTGAATTAAGGCCAGCTCTGCTCGTGGGCCCAATAACGGATGCCAATGATGCCAAACCAGGCTTCTAAAATAGAGTCACACTCTTGGCAAAATGCTTTGTAGCAAATTCATAATACTGGGGGTTCAAACAGAACTGGGGCCCACACATAGGCCAGCCTCTACCTTCTTAGGTTTAGATCTGTGTGAGGAGGGGAGTATTTTGAAACAATCATGTTGATGCACAGTCTGCCTGCCTGTCCACTATGGCAGCCACTGGCTGCATGTGGCTAAGTTAAACTGAATAAAAATTAACTAAATTAATTAACTAAATTTTAGCTGAATAAAAATAAAATTCAGCATCTTCTTCACTCATCACTCTGAAAACCCAATGTGTGTACCATATCAGACAGTGCAAATAAAGAACATTTCTGTCATCACCGAAGGTTCCATTGGATAGAACTGCATAGTATTACCAGGTTGAACACGGTCAAGGGATTAGGTCACTTGCAAGGGCCAGAGGTGATGTCTGAGTTCTATATGTCTGTGTGATTTTAATTTTAATTGTGATATAATACATATAATGTGAAATTTATAATCATAACCTTTTTAAAGTGATCAGTTAGTAGTAGTAAGTAAAAGTCAAATTTTTGCACAACCAACACCTTCAGCCATCTCTAGAACACTTTTCATCTTGCAGAACTGAAATTTGGTTCAGTTAAACAGAACCACTTAAACAACCATTAAACAACCACTTCCCATTTCCTCCCCCATAACCCCTGGCAACCACCATTCTCCTTTCTGACTTTAAGTACTTAAGGTACCTCATGTAAGTGGAATCATGCAATATTTGTCCTTTGTGACTGATTTATTTCACTTAGGTTAAGGCTCCTATGTGTTGTAGCAGGTATCAGAATTTCCTTTCTTTTTAAGGCTGATAATATTCCATTTCATGTGTAGACCACACTTAGTTTATCTGTTCACTATCAGTGGATCCTTGTGGCATCACTAAGACTCATGCTGCTATGAACATGGGTGTACAAATGTCACCTTAAGTTTCTGCTTTTGATTCTTTTAGATATATACCCAGAAATGGAATTGCTGTATTGTATGATAATGTTGCTTTTACGTTTCTGAGAAGCTGCCATATTATTTTCCACAGGAGCTACATCATTTTACAGTCTCCCTAACAATGCACAAGGGTTCCAATTTCTCCACAGCCTTACCAAATTCGCTATTTTCTGCTTTTCTTGTGTTCTGAGAGGTGCCACCCTAATGGATATGAGTCTGTAGGAGAATTTTTGTGCTCTCCTCTTTGAGCCCCAGTCAAACCTAACAGACTTCTGGAGGAGGACTTGAGAGAGATAAGAGGAAAATTTCCTTTCACAAAGAAAAGGAAATTCTGATGACTCTAAATCGCATCGAAAGCCTCAGCAAGCATGATGATGAAGTCCGAATTCTGAGGGAGGAGGAAGAAATGAAATAGCAGCATTAAAGAAATGCCTCAATTATTTTCCTCATTAGACCTTGCTTCCTCTGTCAGGATAAATATGGGACTCTGACTCCCTGGGGATGATCAAGTATCCTGTGATTGGCCTAACAAGCCGCAGGCCCACACAGTTTCCCAAGAAAAGACAGGAGAAGCACAGATGATTTGGTTGGCATGAACTGGGAAGCACCAAAGCCTTGTTACATATTCCAAAACACAAAACAAAGTCCATGGTTTCCTGAGGGCAAAAAAGTAGACCATTTCTGAGAGTGTTCACTGGTTCTTTCAGATTATTCTGATTCAGTTGTTTCCAAAAAGAAACCACAGAGATACTGGACTTTGAGGAGGCTTCAGTGACATTCATCTATTTTTTGAAAATACAGCGTGGTAACAAATTTGCTTATTTGTTGTGATGGAGCAGTCCGTGCGAGTGACCTTTGAGGTTGTTGCACCAGTGATGTGGCTCACGCTTCAGTTAGTAGAAATGGCCCTGGCCCCCAAAAGCACAGGGAGGAAGCTTCAGTTTCTCCTCTTTGCGATGCTAATGTGAGGTCCACAGCCTTGTCCAAGGTCACACAGCGGCCAGTGCAGAGCAGAGGCAATCAGAACTCTGCTGTCTGCCCTTCATGTGTCTGGGAAATTTGTCCTCAGGGCTCGTCCACATATCTCCTTCCATGACGTGAAAAGGTCCACCAACCTTCCCTTCTGTCTCTCATCTCAATGTACACTTGGCATAATGAGGCCAAGAGGCTGTGGGAAACATGCTAAACGTTTTGCTTTTTGGTTTTGTTCTTATTAAGACATAAAACAGAGGAAATGCCAGCAGGTGTCAGTAGAACCTTAGAATTTAGAATTTAGTTGGAAAGTTAGAAATGAGATAAATGCGTATCAACTTCTTTGAATGTTTCCAGATTAACAGAAGCAAAAAAAAAAAAAAAAAGCCAATTTAGATATGGTTTTCTGAATTGCTGAAAATAAGCATATATATAAATAGTCTATGTGACACCCCACGAGGCGTATCTTAAAGCCTTGGGCTGCATGTTTCTAGGATTATTCCCCGACACACATTGAGCTCACACATGGGCTCCCTGGGGGCACAGGGTGTGAGCCCTTCTGCTGTGTCTTCCCTCGGGTCGGCGGTCCTGAGCGGGCACATGCAGGAGAACCAGCCCAAGAATGTGGGCTACAATGTGCAATGAACCAGCTACAATGTGCAAGCTTCTGCGCCTCCTCGGAGGCTGTTAACAGCCCTTATTCTCTCATCTTCCAACTCTTCCAATTCTGTCTAAATTAACCTACAGCTTATTTCAGGCCCTCTAAGGAACAATCCTTTGAGAGACTCTCGGGGGTCAGGGCTGGATGCTTGGGGGGGGGGAGGGTGGGCGGAACAGGAGCTGCCCCTGAATAGACCCTGGGAACTTTCACCCCCTCACCCTCTCCTCTGGGACCTTTCAAACTTATTTTCGTTATGCAGGCCCCACAGTGTCCATTTTCCAAGCAAATGTCTGGGGCCCACCCTTAAACAGTAAGACTCTCATAGACAAAATAATCTCTTTCCCATTAAGAACCAATAACAAAAAAGAAGCCAACTCAGAGACACAGAGAACAGACTGGTCACTGCGAGTGGGCAGGGGGAGGAGAGGGGAAGGCTGGGGGAGTGGGCGGCAGGAACTGCAGGCTGAGAGGTTCAAGGACGCGCTGCACAGCCGCTCTTCTGTGCTAACTGTAAAGGGAAAGCAAACTTTAAAACTGGATAAAAGGAAAAACATAAAAAATTTAATGAAATAATACACTCTGTAGATGGAAAAAAACAAAAACAAAAACTCCCCAAATGTATAGAGACAAAGACATAACAGACCTAAACCAAAAGATACATGAATTTACGGAGCACATATCTTGCTTTTCCTCCTTTAAAAACATTTGGGAATTCTTTTAAGGTTATGAAAATGATATTTAAATGCTCTGTGTAGAAAAATGCAAAGCAAGAAAGCAAAAAGTAAAGACTTCTCCAAATCCCATTACTGATACTGAGAGCTGACAACACTTTTCTGTGTGAGCTTCTAGGCCTTTTCCATGCACATGCTGCTGCTGCTAAGTCACTTCAGTCGTGTCCGACTCTGCGCACCCTATAGACGGAAGCCCACCAGGCTCCCCCGTCCCTGGGATTCTCCAGGCAAGAACACTGGAGTGGGCTGCCATTTCCTTCTCCAAGGCATGAAAATGAAAAGTGAAAGTGAAATCGCTGAGTCGTGTCCGACTCTTCATGACCCCATGGACTGCAGCCCACCAGGCTCTTTCGTCCATGGGATTTTCCAGGCAAGAGCACTGGAGTGGGGTGCCATCGCCTTCTCCATTCTACGCACATAGTCCTCCTAAAATAACTGGTCCCTCTCAGTCAGCATCACTTCAAGTAGAGTTGTTGTTCCTTCAACTCAATCTTATCTCTAGATTTTGTTCCAGAAGCATTCTTCTTGTTTTTGTTGTTTAGTGGTAAGTCATGTCTGATGCTCTGTGACTCCATAGTCTGCAGCCCACCAGGCTTCCCTGTCCTTCACTATCTCCCTGAGTTTGCTCAAACTCACGTCTATTGAATCAGTGATGTCATCCAACCATCACTGTTGTCTGTTGTCTCCTTCTCCTCTTGCCCTCAATCTTTCTCAGCATCAGTCTTTTTCAATAAATCAGTTCTTCGCCTCAGGTGGCCAAAGTATTAGAGCTTTAGCTTCAGCACTAATCCTTCCAATGAATATTCAGAGTTGGTTTCTTTTAGGATTGACTGGTTTGATCTCCTTGCTGTCCAAAGAACTCTCAAGAGTCTTCTCCAGCACCACAGTTCGAAAGCATCCATTCATTGGTGCTCAGCCTTCACTACGGTCC